AAACCCAAGGGTCAGATCCCATAATGGAGCAGGGGGTGGGCAAAATGTAAGGGCTTAAGGATGAAGAGGAATGATTTGAAATGCTGTTTCCTGGACATGACCTGACTGCTGTATAGATGAACTCATAAGACCTGTAGTTACCTGCACAATACCTGCATAAGTGGAAGTCAGTTAAAAATCCATCAGAGGAAGAAGGACTCCACCATGGAGGCAGAAGAAGCTCCTGAGGCCCCACTCTTGAGGTTATTGGCAGCTGAAGACTGCTGGGGGAGAGAGAGGCACTACTCCTTAGAGGATGGCCAGTAGAGTCAATGTCTCAGTGGATGACCACACACCCATGAGTACATGGGCAACACTAAACACTAAACCAATGTGTCACACACACACAGCATCAAGTTGGATGTAAGATGCCTTAAGATATATCCAGAGCATGGAGAAATTGAAGGGAATGAGGACTATGAACAAAATTATATACATGTACGAAATGTTAAGAGAATAATATTTTTAAAAACGGGGGAAGTAGTTGGTTTCTGACCTAGCAATATAAAAAGAAGCCCCCCTAAACCAAAGACACTCTCCCCAAATAACATTAACAACAAAATATTCTTGATTTTCTTCAGTGAGCAACCAACTGTCATAAGCTAAGCCCCCCTCCACAGAGCTTAGAAGCAGCCCAGGCACTTGTACAATAAAAACAAAAACAAAAACCACTGAAACCCTAGGGAAGAAAGGCAGAGGAATAGAAAACAAAGAAACCAATCATCCCCTCCCTCACGCAATCAGTAGTGCTCACAAAAGAAATACCACCTTTTACTCAGTGCCCTACTACAGAACCTGGTTAGATTCTTTATAGACATGATAAAAAGAACTGTTCAAATTCCAACAAGTCTGCAAAGGAGGCAGCTAACTTTTTAGGGCGGAGATATGGCTCAGTGGCACAGCATTTGCTGAGATCCTAAACGCAATCTCCAGCTTTATAAGCAGTGGGGAACAGGTGCTGGGGAAATGGCTCAGTTGGTAAAGTGTTTGCTGAGCTGGCATTACAACCTGAGTCCAGATCTCTAGCATGTTTGTCAACAGCATGCACTGTAACCCCAGTGGTGGGTAGGTAGAGACAGGCAGATTCCTGAGCTCACCAGCCAGCTTGTCTAGCCAAATCTAGCTCCAGATTCAGTGAGAGACTCTGTTCCAAAAAAGAAGGTGAAGAATGATTAAGGAAAACACCTGACCTCCACCTGTGGGGCCTCCACATACATGAGCATATCTGCATGGATAAATGCACTGCATGCATGTGTGCAGCACGCACATGAGCACACACACTCACAAAAGGTTGAGGGGTGATGACTGTATCATTCAGTAACCTTTCTTTTGAAGACTCTAATATGCACTGTGCTTCAGTAGTTTTTCTTCTCCAGTTCACAGTGATACTACCAGATTTCAGACTTCACTTTCCTTCTACAAGCTTTTGCTAATGCCATCAATCTGAGCCATTCTCCATAAATACAAGTTCAAATATTAATTAACTTTTCTAGTGAATACATCCATTGCAACTTTTAATATTCAAGTGCCCACATGTTTCAGAACTAAAGTTATTGGGCAAATTTCTCTTTAAGTGTAAGATTTTCTCTTTTCACACACATAAAGGTGGGCAAAGTTCCACAAGGTTCAAGAAAGCATATGACATTGAAAATGGCACTTAAGCATAGTATTTCTTTGTTCAAAGACTAAAAATTATCCAGACTTTTTAATGTTTTAACAAACTAATTTTCTATTTAAAAACTCTATCAGATGCCCTATCCTTGTGCAAATATGTGAAAAAATTTCTTTTCTACTAAGTGGTTAGTCTATATAGTTAATAAGTTATCAGACCTTAAACAAAAACAAATTTGGCATAATATACCTTAAAAATGCCCCAAACTACAATTCCTTGGTATAGTGCCTCACACAGAAATAAACTAAAAATGAACTGAGATTATCTGACTCAATGTCGATGAGCCCAGACCATGCATGCCTGAGAGGGAGATGCAACTGTAGTTAAAATTATGTTGTCTTAAATTACAAGCTCATTTTATGTTTCAAAGTTTTATAGAGTTTTATGTAGTGTAAAATCATCGGTATTAACCTCTGACAGGTTTATTCTCTTAAAAAGATTTGTACCTGTGCAATACACTTGTAACAAAAAATCTTAAGTATTATTGTTTATATAATTTCTTTCTCCTTTTTTGACAATAAACTTTTATAAACATGACTTATTGTTTGTGATTTAAAATGCCTTAAAGGGATTACATCAAATAATCTATTTTAATTGTTGCTAAAACCCAACATTTACTTCCATGCACATTCACAATTTAAAATAAATGCTTACACAAACTCCCTGCTTACTGTATATGAAACAGATCTATGACCTCATGTACATCTTTCTCTTCTTCTGGAGAGAGGCAGATAGTGAATATTTTAGTCTAAGGGAGCCCAAGATCTTTGTTGCAACTACTTGTGGAAGTGGAGCACAACAGTCACCACAGAAAACGCATAAGGAACACAAATGGAGCTAGTTGCTTTCATAATGGATTTGACCCATAGGATAATGTGTTGAGTCTTGAGCTAAGTCCTAGAGGAAACACTAAATACTCTGTCACTACAATACACCTGGCTGATTTTAACACTTTGCTTTCCAGAAGAAACCATTCATGGACATAATGAATACAGCTTCAGCACTGTAAAACATCATTCTGCACAGATCTGACATCATTGCCCACTAAAATTATATGCTACCTTCCTGGAAATCTACAGAAATTTCTAAGTATAACATTATATATAAATGGACTTACTCTGGCTGCCTAACCTTTCAAATATTTTAATACCAATCTCTGTTACCTTCTTTCCTCAACTTACCCTAGGAAGGTCAAAATATCAACACTTTCTCTACATATAAATGAGTCTTATATCCCCTACTTTTGCTACCAGAATTGGAGGCTAACTTTAGTCTCCTTCTCTCTCAGTGCTTGCTACACTATCCAAGTAAGACAAGCTACACATTTACCTTCTCTGCTTCCTTTGTGTAATAGCAAAGCCACACAACATCAGTAATATCATAAAAGACTATGAGGTAAGGACATGGGAGGACACCCAGAGAAAGTTCTTTTATTTTCTTTTTAAAGGAGAGTACTTACACTTACCAAGACTTCCAGTCCCTTTCCTTCCTGCCCTAATTCAAATGTGGTCCTTTGAACTGGAGCAGCCATTAGAAGCTAGAACTGTAGAGCAGCCAACACTGTAACTTTAAACCCCCAAATCAGTGCCAGAGGTCATCTCTGTCTAGTTCTTCTGATGTGAAAAACAGGCCCTTTAAATGAAAATTTCATTCCATCTCTAAGCTACTACTTTTTTAAAGTACTAGCCAAAGTGTGTTGTGAATTTTCAAGAAACAGCACTTCTCTGACATGGAGAGAAAAGCAGAACATGGTCCTGGTCCTGAGGGCATATATTCTGACAACAACAAAGCTAAAACAAACCAGAGAAGCCTAAGAGGATTACCCAGATGCTGTAGCAGAGAGACAGATAATCAAAGAGACAGAGATAAAGAGAGAGCAAGAGAGTGAGACAGAAACAGAGAGACAGACAGAGAGACAAAGAGTCAGAGACAGAGACAGAGAAAAAGACACAAAGAAAGTCAAAGAGAAATAAATAGCCAGAAAAAGAGAGGGAGAGAGAGAAAGAAAAAAAGCTATTTTTTTTTTTTTTTACTATTGTGGAATCAAAATGCCTTATAATGTTCTACTCTGCAAATCAAATGTAAAAACTCTAACTGTATTAATTTTCTATCATGTGCTTCCATTATGTGAAAAAGCAGAAGTTCAGAACTCATTTTTTAGAGTTACCGTTTTGTGATTTTCAAGCTAGTTAATTTATCTTTATGATTAAATTTTTCTAATATTTTTAAATGCATGATTATTGTCAATGCAAGACCATGTCGGTTACTTGCAGAATCATTGAAATAATAACCATCAAGTTAGTAATGATACTGCCAATAAGGACAATGGTTCTTTCAAGCATTTACGCACTGGCAGATACATCATATTCTGTTTAGCTGCTTCTCTCTTCCATTTATGTCATTATGTAATTCTACCTACCCAAAAGAAAGTCCATAACTATGGTCTTTGTAATTCACATATCCCTCTAAGTAAAAACCTTTAAATTTAAATAAGTTTGTATTGGTGCTAGAGATATGATTCAGTAGTTAAGAGTGAGTGCTCTGCTCTTCTAGAGGTACTTAGCACTGGCATGGGGTGGCTAACAGCCAACACTAAAGGATCCAGCTCCAGGGGATCCTTTCTCTGTCCTCCATGGACACCTGCCCTCACACACACAAAGCTCCACACACATACACATAATTAAAAAAAAAAAGTAAAACTTGAAAAGGATGTTTTGACTTTATTTTCATACAAACAATGTACTATGTACATGGGTACATGCACACACACGCACCTCTAACTCTAAACTGCAAACCTTTCTTTTCCGTGACATTGTTTGTTGGTTTTATGCTATTCTTTAAGCATTTATCAAACACAACACTTACATATTCTGTAAGCTGTTGTTCTAACTTCTAGATTTTTCTTTCAGAAGAGAATCCCTTTGGACTGTTTCAGCTTTACCTAAGAAGAAATCTAAATGTGAGGAGGTTAAGTCTCTATTACAATAGCAGGGCAGAATTTAATAAAGACCCAGAATTTTGTGGTACGCCCAATTTCATATTGTCTTTTTTAGTTGACAAATCTGTGTTCACAGCATAGTAACAGCAGCATAGCAGCTGGGTGGCCTTATCAAGCAGAAAGGAAGCAACAGCACTTGCTGCTAAGTGTCTTTCTGATCACCTAGAAATGGCAGCACATGCAGATTTATTTCCCGTTATAAATTAGAACTATTATTTCTCTGGGTTTTACAGTTTCCTCATACAAGATTCAAATTTGCCGGATATAAAAATGAAACTTTCAAAAGGATATCTTCCCTTTCTTTGATGATCAGTTCATTCTGTTCTTCCAACTGCCGAATCTTCTTCTCGAAGGACTCCTGCTCAGTTTTCAGTCGTTCCTCTGTCACTTCCTTTTCTTCACTCACTCTAAAAGAAATATCAAAACAATAAAGAAAAATGAAAAGTCAATCAGAATAAAGCCAGTGGACTAAAGCTGCAGCTCACCCAAACTACAACTCTCAAAGGCACACAGGATTCTTAGGGAGGTTTGGTGTTTTCAGTTTACTCTCTCATTAAACACGCTTCCTCAGCTTTGCAACATTCATGCTCCAGATTTTAAGAGATACGAATAAAAAAACATTTAGAGCCATGGACTACATTTTTCACCGAAGCAGTGCCAGACCACCAAGTGACAACAGAAGACCTCACCCTCCATCTCATTTAGAGCAGACAATAGGTTAGTCAATAAAGCCATAATCTAAATGAAGGGAACTGGATTTGCACCAAAAAGAGGATGGAAGTTCTGCTTAGGAGAACATGTCCAGTGCTGGCCTGTTAGTTCTTGGGAAAGAAAACAGTAGCTTGTGCATAAAAAATTTTACCACCATCATCATTTATTGATTCCTCAGATGACATCCCCAAAATGTTCATAAACTGTCCTTTTAATATGAAAAGACCCTTAGAGTTGAGTGACAGGAGTAATGGTGCTGCCAGAAGGAATGAACTCTTCTTGACATCTTATATTTTATTTTAAATATTTTATATTTCTCTATAAGATAATCTTATCTGTTTTAATAGCAAAAGTGGTTTTAATTAAGAATGGCTCCCAAGGGTTTATATATTTGAATCAAGTAATGGCACTATTTGAGGATTAGGAAATATCCCATCATTGAGGTAGGTGTGGCCTTGCTGAAAGAAGTGTGTCACTGGGGGTGGACTTTCAAGTTTCAAAAGTCCACATCAGGCCAAGTGCCTATCTTTCTTTCCATAGATCAGGATGTAGATCTCAGCTACTGCTCAAGTGCTAAATATGCTGCCATGCTTCTGCCATGGAGATAATGGACTAAACCTCTGAAACTAAGCATGTCCTAATCAAATGTTTTCTCTTCTGAGAGTTACCTTGGGGAAATGGAGAAGGAATGGATTGAGGGGAGGTGGGAAGAGGGAGCTGGAGGAGTGGAGGTAGGGGAAACTGTGGTCAGGATGTCATATATGTAAAGAATAAAAATAAAAATAAATAAATTAAAAATGATTTAGAAAAACTTAAAAAGAAAAGAATTACTTTGGTCATGGTGTTTCTTCACAGCAACATAACAGTGATGAAAACATCCTCTCATAGTCACATATATTAATAATTTTAATACAACTAATATTATATAGAAAACTCTACAGTTTTGAATATATTTAGTATTCTGTCAGATACTCTAGGAATGGAGGATGCTAAGATTAGGGATTAAATATGTAAATCATATTGGCAAGAATGGACTTAAGACACCATCTCTATTCCCTGGTGACTCTGCCAAAATAAGTGGTAGACTGAGCTTTCCCCTTCCTATGGACCCTGTTGGCATCCCATTCTAGTCCATGCCATTCCTTTGTGTCAGCCTCCAATACCTAGAAGCACTCTCTACCTGTGACTCCTGGTGGCAACACTGGACATGGACTCTGGTAGGCAATGTTCACTCTCCTCTTGTCCTCTATTGCAATCTTACCAGTCTCAACCCCAGCCCTGTAGGGGTCTACTTGCAAGGGAATGTTTCTCCATCCTACCTCCATTTCCTAGAGACTCCAAGAACACTGGAGCTTTCTTCCGTCCTACGGAAACCTTTAAACCCTCCCTTCTAACTCATCCCCATCCCTCTGGGTCAGGCCCTGATACCTAAAAACACTTTCTACCTGGAACTACCAGTGATTATACCAGACAGGGACTTAGATAGCTGATTCATACCATCCTTCCTGTTCTCAATTATAATCTCTCCATTTTCACCCTCAGCCCAATAACAGCCTGCTTACAGGTACCCATCCTTCCACCTTAACTCGATTTAACTCTTGGTTCAGACTCAGGATCCCCTAGACCTTTTATTCCTGTCTTTCCAGATTATTCTCTACTTTGCTGCAACTTAACAGAAGCTCCTTTTACCATCATACCTTCAACTCTCTAGGGACCTCATCTCTTGGAGTGAATAGGATCCCCTTTGCTCTTTCCTAATGCCATTCTCAGCCTCTTCACCTAGACCACATCTATACCAATATACCATCCACTGACTTGCAGTAGTACTCTCTACTAGGCAACACACAGCTAACATATTTTCCTAAAAAGGAATAACAGAAAGCAAGGAAAGGAACACCCAATCATCAAAGACAAGAACAGATATCAACCATGTGTTGGCTAGTATTATGTCAACTTGACACAAATGAGAGTTATCTGAAAGGAGGGAACCTCAATTGAGAATATGCTTCCATGACTGATACCAGAGGGCTTGGCCCATTGAGGGTAGTGCCTTCCCTGAGCTAGTGATCCTGGGTTCTATAAAAAAGCAGGTTGAGCAAGCCAACAAGCACCACTCCTCCATGGCTTCTGCATCAGCTCCTGTCTTCAAGTTCCTGCCCTGTCTGAGTTCCTGTCCTGACTTTCTTCAGTGATGATCAGTGATGTGCATGTGTACGCCAAATAAACCCTCTCCTCCCCAAGTTGCTTTCATCATGGTGTTTCATCATAACAGTAATTTTAACAACTAAGTAAGCCTAACTAAGCCAAATACCTAGAAACACCTCATCCTAACTTCAGATGCCTACCCACTAGTGCAAACACACAAATATCAGCAGCCAAGAGCATATTCTTCCACCAGAAAGAACCCAGTAACTCTACTATAGTAAGACCAGAGAATGCAATATAGATGAAGCAAGAGACAAGGACTTCAAAACAAGAATTATGAGTACATTCAAGAACCATAAAGAGGATATAAATAAACCCTGTAATGAAGTCTCTGAAAACAAAAACAAACAGTGTAATAAAATGATGAAAACAGTTCAAGACATAAAAACAGAAAGAGGATCACTAAAGAAAATCTAAACGAATATTAAACTGAAAATGAAATATTTAGGAAGTCAAACAAAAACCTCAGAGGTAAGCCTCACCAACAGAGTGCAGGACAATAAAGAGAGAATCTCAGACATGGAAAATAAGGTAGAAGAAATGGATATCTCAATCAAACAAAATGTTAAATCTGAAATATAGTCACAGAACATGCAGAAAATCTGGGATACTATGAAAAGACTAAATCTACAAATAACAGGAATAGAGGAAGAAAAGAAAATCCATGTCAAAGGTACAGAAAATATTTTCAACAAAAATCACAGAAGAAAATTTTCCTAACCTGAAGAAGAGTACCTATCAATATGCAAGAAGTATACAGAACATCAAATAGAAAAGACATTCCCACGATATATAATGATCAAAATACTGAACATGAAAAGCAAAGAAAGAACATTAAAAGCTGCAAGGAAAAATGACCAAGTAACTTATAAAGGCAGACCTGAACTTTTAATGGAGATTCTCAAAGCCAGAAGGGCCTGGACATATGTCATACAGACACTAAGAAGCCACAGATGTCAACCTAAGACTACCGTACTGAGCAAAACTTTCAATCACAATAAACAGAGAAAATAAGATATTCCACAATAAAACCAAACATAAGCAATATGCATATATTTAAGCAATATGGATCTACAAATCTAGTACCACAGAAGGCACTAAAAGGGAAACTTAACCTGAAAAGGTTAACCCCCAACATCAAAAAAAAAAAAAAAAAGAGAAAAAAAAGAAAAAAAAGAAAGAAAAAAGCTCCAAGCAACAATACCAGACAAACAAATCAAAAGGGGGTAATGAAACACAACATGGAAATCAACAAACACTGCTCATTGATAATTCTCAACATAAAGGGTCTCAATTCCCCAATAAAAGATTAAAAAACAGGATCCATCATTGTATGTTGCATTCAAAAAGCAGACTTTATCATCAAGGATAGGCATCACTCAGAGTAAAAGGATGAAAAAATATATTCAAGCAAATGGACCCAAGAAGCATGCAGGGGTAATAGGTTATTTGATCCCAAGTGGTCAGCCTTAAACAAATTTACATACACTCAACGCTAAATGCATTCATATGTATATATGAATGTATGAATGTAAGTATATGTGTAATATAAATAAAGAAAATATAAAGAGAAGCTGAAAGGACAGAAATGATGAAAACACAGTATTTCTATATGAAATTCTCAAAAAATACAAAGACAGTTACACATTGTGAACAGAAAGTTTTTTATTTTTAATTATACTTTATTATTTATTTATTATTTAATTATATTTCATTTACTTTGTATCCCCCGTCCCTCCTCCCCTTCCAATCCCTCCCTTCCTCTCCCTTCTCCACACACTCCCCTCCCCAAGTCCAGAACAGAAAGTTTTATGAATAAAAATAGTATTTATTCATAGTTGTCATGGCATTTATGCAGACCTTTAAAAAATATACAAATAAAAATAACAATAATTGACAGAAAGATCAGGAGTCTTTAGGACACTCTGAGCTATCTAGTGAGTTTCAAGCTAGTGTGAACTACAAGATGTCATCTATGAAAAAACAAAGGGCTGGATTAAGGGCTCAGAAGTTAAAAGTGCTTGCTGCTCTTTCAGAAGACCATACTTCAGTTCACAGAGCCTATGTCAAGTAGCTCACAACTGAGACTCAAGATTAAAGGTTCTCAACCTCTGGATCACAATGCCCCTGGATTTATATATCAAATATTTACATTATAATTTATAAAAATAGCAAAATTGCAGTTATTAAGCAGCAACAAAATAATTTTGTGGTGGGGAGGTCACCACAAGATGAGGAACTGTATTAAAGGGTCACAGCATTAGGAAGGCTGAGAATTACTGCTGTAGCTCCTGAAGATCCAATGATCTGTTAGCACCTACATGCATATGGCACACATACATAGACACACACATATACATAAATAAGTTTAAAAAAAATTAACCCACAAAAGTAAATGTGAAACTTCATATGCTCATCTGTAAGTATAGGAAAGGCAAATCGTTAAAGCCAATCTTCCATAATAAAAAAATCTCAGTAACCTAGTACTAAA